GTAATCTGTCATGGGTCCCTGTACGGCCTCCCATTGCTGCTGTCTCCATCGCCACACTCTGCCATGTGCCACTTTCAGGTCTCCTCACACTGCTGGTGGGTTCCATTTTGTCATAGGGTGCTGGCAGATTACGGGCCTCCCATTGCTGCTGCCAGGCCGTAATCTGCCATGGGCCCCCGTACCGCCTCCTCATGCTGCTGCCAGGCCCAGTAATCTGTCATGGGTCCCTGTACGGCCTCCCATTGCTGCTGTCTCCATCGCCACACTCTGCCATGTGCCACTTTCAGGTCTCCTCACACTGCTGGTGGGTTCCATTTTGTCATAGGGTGCTGGCAGATTACGGGCCTCCCATTGCTGCTGCCAGGCCCGTAATCTGCCATGGGCCCCCGTGTACCGCCTCCTCATGCTGCTGCCAGGTCCAGAGTGTCTCATGGGTCCCTGTACGGCCTCCCATTGCTGCTGTCTCCATCGCCACACTCTGCCATGTGCCACTTTCATGGTCTCCTCACACTGCTGGTGGGTTCCATTTTGTCATAGGGTGCTGGCAGATTTACGGGCCTCCCATTGCTGCTGCCAGGCCCGTAATCTGCCATGGGCCCCCGTACCGCCTCCTCATGCTGCTGCCAGGTCCAGAGTGTCTCATGGGTCCCTGTACGGCCTCCCATTGCTGCTGTCTCCATCGCCACACTCTGCCATGTGCCACTTTCAGGTCTCCTCACACTGCTGGTGGGTTCCATTTTGTCATAGGGTGCTGGCAGATTACGGGCCTCCCATTGCTGCTGCCAGGCCCGTAATCTGCCATGGGCCCCCCCCAACCCCCCCCCCTACCGCCTCCTCATGCTGCTGCCAGGCCCGTAATCTGTCATGGGTCCCTGTACGGCCTCCATTGCTGCTGTCTCCATCGCCACACTCTGCCATGTGCCACTTTCAGGTCTCCTCACACTGCTGGTGGGTTCCATTTTGTCATAGGGTGCTGGCAGATTACTGGCCTCCCATTGCTGCTGCCAGGCCCGTAATCTGCCATGGGCCCCCGTACCGCCTCCTCATGCTGCTGCCAGGTCCAGAGTGTCTCATGGGTCCCTGTACGGCCTCCCATTGCTGCTGTCTCCATCGCCACACTCTGCCATGTGCCACTTTCAGGTCTCCTCACACTGCTGGTGGGTTCCATTTTGTCATAGGGTGCTGGCAGATTACGGGCCTCCCATTGCTGCTGCCAGGCCCGTAATCTGCCATGGGCCCCCGTACCGCCTCCTCATGCTGCTGCCAGGTCCAGAGTGTCATGGGTCCCTGTACGGCCCCATTGCTGCTGTCTCCATCGCCACACTCTGCCATGTGCCACTTTCAGTTCTCCTCACACTGCTGGTGGGTTCCATTTTGTCATAGGGTGCTGGCAGATTACGGGCCTCCCATTGCTGCTGCCAGGCCCGTAATCTGCCATGGGCCCCCGTACCGCCTCCTCATGCTGCTCCAGGTCCAGAGTGTCTCATGGGTCCCTGTACGGCCTCCCATTGCTGCTGTCTCCATCGCCACACTCTGCCATGTGCCACTTTCAGGTCTCCTCACACTGCTGGTGGGTTCCATTTTGTCATAGGGTGCTGGCAGATTACGGGCCTCCCATTGCTGCTGCCAGGCCCGTAATCTGCCATGGGCCCCCGTACCGCCTCCTCATGCTGCTGCCAGGTCCAGAGTGTCTCATGGGTCCCTGTACGGCCTCCCATTGCTGCTGTCTCCATCACCACACTCTGCCATGTGCCACTTTCAGGTCTCCTCACACTGCTGGTGGGTTCCATTTTGTCATAGGGTGCTGGCAGATTACGGGCCTCCCATTGCTGCTGCCAGGCCCGTAATCTGTCATGGGCCCCTGTACCGCCTCCTCATGCTGCTGCCAGGCCCGTAATCTGTCATGGGTCCCTGTACGGCCTCCCATTGCTGCTGTCTCCATCGCCACACTCTGCCATGTGCCACTTTCAGGTCTCCTCACACTGCTGGTGGGTTCCATTTTGTCATAGGGTGCTGGCAGATTACGGGCCTCCCATTGCTGCTGCCAGGCCTGTAATCTGCCATGGGCCCCCGTACCGCCTCCTCATGCTGCTGCCAGGTCCAGAGTGTCTCATGGGTCCCTGTACGGCCTCCCATTGCTGCTGTCTACATCGCCACACTCTGCCATGTGCCACTTTCAGGTCTCCTCACCCTGCTGGTGGGTTCATTTTGTCATAGGTTGCTGTATGGCCTCCCATTGCTGCTGCCTCCACCGCCACACTGTGGCTCCACACTCTGGTTTTGGCCCCGTGACTGCCCAAATGAGTGAAGTGTGCGGTGATTCTAAGATCGACGGCACTCATCTGCATGTCATACTGACTGACAGTATTATTTCTCTTCCCCAGCAGACTCCAAGGGCATTTAAATTAAAGGTACAGTGTTCTGCACTAATATAAAGGCTCTCTGAAGCCTAGAAACACCCTTTTTATAAGTTAAATTCGCAGCGAATATATTCGACTCGAATCGAATTTATTCCGCGAATTCGCCGAATCAGCCGAATCGAGTTTTTGAATACTTCGCTCATCTCTAACTTTAATGTAAAGAGTAAAAGGGTACAAAAACTATAAATTCTATGCCAATAACTGGGATCCATATACTTGCACACTGACACTGTATGGGGTTTAACAAAGTGGGAGGATCTATTTTTCAAAAGACATGCATGGCAAAATGACAGTGTCTCTACAAACAGCCCTCCCACAACCTTTTCTTATACTGACCATACCAGCACCTTACTGTTCTTTGCTCCCAGTGCTAGGCCAAGGTCATTCAGCACCTAGGGAAAGGATGCCAAACTGTGCCCCCCCTCACCTTTATTATGTGTGAGCTTAAGGGATCCTACCCCCAGCAGCCATTTGCTTGTCCATTTACGGGTGCAGCTCTAGATCTGTCAATTGTGTTTCGTGTGGACCTGGAAATGTGATGTTGTAGGACCTTCTTTCTGCTGCGTTTTCTGCCTCTGCTGATCTCCTTGTGCCAGAGCCAAAAAGCCGAGTACGCTTGCCAGTCACAATGGAATATGTAGTTCTACAAGTTAGGAGAAGCGATGAGTTATTTCTATGAGATCACCTAGCTATGAATTAAAGTGGTATTGAACCCAAAACAAAAAAATTTAATATGTTGCAGCTTACCAATCATTATATGTGGTGACTGCTTTAGTCTTCTTTTTTTTAGGCTTTTTCCCTCTGTTTCCACCTTGTGATCTGGCCAGTAGTACACCTCTTGTAATATAGTGCACCCACTCTCTGATAAAGGAGCAATAGAGACACTTTTGGATGGCAGCATTGTCAGTCTGGGGTGAGTTGATCATTAGATGGACTAGCAGATTAGATATACTGAAATGACTGGTGTCAGTGACCTGGGGAAGCAGTGAGGTCAGTCCCCTGATCATTGGCTGCCAGTCTGCTAGTTTCAAGCACTGTCACAGGGAAAATGTCTCATGCTACTCCATACCCAGGTATGGCTGCCAGCTGTGGGGGAAACACTGGTTAGTATAGGAGGGTTAGGTAGAGTCCATTTGCAGACAAGTGATAAGTCGTAAGATCAAATTTGACACCTATATTTGTAGATCCCCTATATGTTCTTTGTGTCTATTTCAATGTGTGCACGTACAGGTACATTAGCCTGTATCAGCAGGCACAGCTCCCCATCACTATCTATAGGCAATATGCGGATGGGAAGTGGCTAATGAGTGAGCTGAATGACCGGACATGGCCTGTTCACCCACACTGAACTTCTGGATGCCACTGTAGCCAGAAGTCATTAATTTAATGGCAGTATCACTACCACCAATAGAGTACTTGCTAGCTTGCCAGCGGGTAAGCTGGGTGGTATAATTGTGCAATGACATCACCCGGGCCTTATATGGATTTTTGGGAGGATTATGTTCCTTTTTGGTGGGGGGGGGGGGTCATCTGAAACTCCATATCAGACCCTCAACAAAGATAAGGGTTTTGTATAGACTTTGATGGAGACCCCATGCCTTTTTTTTATTGAAACAAGCTCTTTATCCAGGCATGCAGCCTGAGTAGCCAAGGGGGCAGAGAGTGTGTGGCCTACCTCACTCCTAAACAATACCAGGCCATATACCCTGAAGATCAAAAAACAGAGTGGGGGTACATCCATACTAGACTCTTATCCTGGATAATAGTCTGGTATATATTTCAGAGGAACCCTGTGCCAAAATAGTGTGTGTCCTGCAAAAAATGCATACCAGACCTCTTTTCAAGCATGTAGCCTGGCTGGTCAGAAAAAGGAGGGACAGCAACCCTTGCAAAGCATCTTGTCTTCATATTGATGAGGACAATTACCTATTCCCTACATTAATGGCCCAGTGGTCATGAGGGTCTGTGGGAGTGGACCTATGAGAATCTTCAAGCTACCTTTAAAATAAGGTGTTCTCCAGATATCTGTCCCCTCGCCCTATGTAAATAAGGAGTACACCCCTGGCGATTCACTTACGATAAAAATAATAATGTCCTACAATGTCCAAGAAATAATGTACCCACAATGTTTAAAAATAATGCCCCGAGGTGTCTATAAAATAACGTCTTACAAATGAAAGGTCCCATGATGATCTTCTTGGATGAGATTTCTACAGCTTGCTGCTGACTGTAATTAAACTAGATGAGGTGCTTGCTGACATAATTGATCAAATGTGGTCATCACAGCACTTCCACTGCACCAGGCATGTGAAACTAAAGCCCTTGTCCCCATTAACATAGGGACATAGTGTTTTGCCAGGGGAACCCCTTAGCAAGATGCCCTGCCCTGTTGAGGGCATATGTACTGTTATTACTCAGGAAGGGGGCACTTACTCACAGCCTCTCCATTTCCTGGCAAGAAAAGATGCATGTTTGGATACGGGTCCAGTATGGACTCCTAGGCTTTTGCTTCAGTATGTCATACAGGTGTGTCACTTCAGATACATGTTTAAAAGCATCCCCAAGCATTCTATTTATACTTCAATTTTTTTATTGAAAAATTGGTATACAGTGGTATACAAAGAAATAGCAACAATTTCCACCTGCATGGAGAAATGGAGTGCATAATCATATTCATAGAACAAATAAGCACATGGAAAAAAAAATATTATTAGTCATTGGCGATATATACAGAGAACACCATCTCTACCATGTAACAAACGGTCCATCAATCAATGAACATAGACATTGCCATAGAAATGTACCAAAAGTATACAAATTAAGGAGAAGAAAAAAAGGAATTGAGAAGAAAGCAGGAAAAAAGAAAAAAAAAAAAAAAAAAGGACACCAAAGGGGGAGAGGAGAGAGAGAGAGGGTCAGCTGCAGTATTATTAAGATATATATATATATATGATCCACGGTTCCTACATCACCTCAAATCTAGAGACATCATCATTGACAATGCTTGTATGATTTATCGTTTACCATTATCCAATTAAGTTTTTGTTTAACCCCGTCTAGCGGGATCAGTGATTGTCTCCAACTTCTAGCTATGGTAATGCATGCTGCCAGTAAGAGGTATAAAATTAATTTAGTCAATGTTTTGGGAACGTCAGTGGATAGCAAATGAAATAAGGCCACGTCCGGTGATCTACAAATATTAATTCTTGTTACCGAATAGATAAAATTAAACATTCGGATCCAGAACCTATTCACTACCGGACATTTCTACCAGATATGAAACATAGTACCCTCTTGTCCACAGCGTCGGAAGCAAATAGACGATACTGAAGGGTACATTTTAGCAAGGCGCGTAGGAACCAGATACCAATGAAGTAGCGTTTTATAATTGGATTCGATAAGAACAGTATTAATCGAGATCTTTGATAAAGTATGGGCCACATTCCGCCAAGTATCCAGGTCTAGTGAGCTATTTAAATCCCCTTCCCATTGAGTCATATAAGATAATTTAATGAGTGGATCAACAAGGGAAGCAAAGATAATGGACAAACAATCCCTCATCATCCCAGCTGCCCCACAGGAGACCTCTAAAGGAGTGAGTGTGCAAGGTTCCAAGATTAATGTGAGTTTGCTAGTGATAAAAGAGATAAGTTGGTAGTAGCGAAACAATTCCCCGGGAGGCATCTGATACTTTGTCAAAAAGCACTGAAGAGAACGAGGACGAAGCGCATCCAGGTAGTCTCCAATACGCAGCAAACCCTTATTCATCCACCATTGGAACACAACGGTGATAAGCCAGGAATAAACTCAGGATTGCAAAATACTGGAGCTAGTGGGATATGTGGGGAGAAGAAAGGTTTGTGAGCTCGCCATCTATCCCACACCGTTAACGAATAGGACAACGTAGGACACAGAATAGGAGGACGTAATCGAATAGGAATCCACATGAGAGCACCAATAGCATAAGGATGGCAAGATAGGCCTCAATCCCAACCTACTGAGGGACGTACCCCCTGGCCGTAGTGCAAGATAACTGTGCTAAATGAGCCGCCTGAAAATAGGCCAAGAGATTAGGAAGTCCCAAACCGCCATGCTCCTTTAGGGAAAACAAGGTTGACCTGTTAACCCTAGGACATTTTCCCCTCCAGATGAATCTAGAGAATAATAACAGTTTCCGTTTGGGAACCATGATTGGTAAAGTCCTAAAATAATACAATAGTCTTGGTAAAAAGGTCATTTTAATAGAATTAATTCTACCAAACCAGGAAAGTGGAAGATCCTGCCAGTCTAGTAAGTCAGATTTGAGTAGTTTGAAGAGTGGGAGATAATTGGTCTTATATAACATTGAAATAGATTTCGTGAGGTGAATCCCCAAATAGGGGAGAGAACTAGAGGCCCACTGGAAGTCAAAATTGTCCTGGAGGTGATGAACCTCCGAGTCAGTTAAACAAGATATTTAAGGCAATTGTTTTAGAGGAATTAAGCGTAAGACCAGAGGCAGAGAAACGATGAAACAGGTGGAGGAGACCAGGTAAAGAAGTTCAAGGATTAGATATATACATAAGGACATCATCAGCAAATAGGACGCATTTATGGTCCCGTTGACCGCAGCGGATGCTCGAGATGGTGGGATCAGAGCGGATAGCAATCGCAAGTGGTTCCATTGCCAAAGCAAATAGTAGCGGAGAAAGAGGACATCCCTTTCTAGTTTCTCGCTCTATCGAAAGGGAGGCTGATTTATATCCGCGAATGGAAACTTGAGCTGATGGATTAGAATATAGGGCCCGTAATAATGTTGTAAAAAAAGGTCAAACCCAAACCTGTCCAACATCTGAAATAAGTAGTACCAAGATAGACTGTCAAACACTTTATGAATATCAGGGCTAAAGTCCAACGAATTTGGTCCGATGTTTGTTGACCGCTTATGAATCCTGACTGGTCATCATGAATATACAGAGCCAAACATTTATGGAGGCGTAAGGCCAGGATTTTAGTAAGAATCTTTAAAGCACAAT